TAAAAACTAAAGTTAGTGATTAGTTCTGTAATGAAATTGAAATCCACAGCTAATATGTAAGTATCTTTTGATTTAAAAAAAAAAATACGCGTAGTTCTAAGAAAAAAAATTTCTACGGTGTACTCGATCCCTATCCCAAAACGTGCCAGCCATATCGCATGCGTATTCAGCTACTCAGCTGCTTATCAAATTTTCGAATTTTAAATTTATATAATAAAAGTAGGTCACCCTAAAAAAAAGAGTACAATGGCTCCCGTTTTCACGACAGCCGTCACTCGATTCATAATTTACAGAGTTATAAAGTTCTACTTTCTTTTGGCTATAGATTTGAAGAAATTTAAATTTGTTATTTCTCATGTGTTCCAACAATTGTACCTAATTTTAATAAACATTACATTAGTGAGGACTCGGTTCTTTTTAGGATTAGCCCTCGACACTATACAGACTATTGCGAAGAAACAGACTCGCGCGAATGTCGTGCGTAGGCTGGTTCAGTGGCGAAGGTTAGAAGCCAATTTCAGACGGAAAATTTTTACTTTGAAATAATTACATTATCAATTAATTTCGATTTAAAACAAATGGCTTAAAGTCAAAAGTAAACTAAAATTTAAAAACTTTGTTATTCGCAGTGTACTCAAGATTCTCGTGTTTTAAAGATAAGTCTAGTTTTACTACGTGTGCGTGCATGGTGCGAATACCGATTTTCCGCGACAGAAAATCATTAAAAATAAAAAATAAAGTATCTACGGCAAAATAATAATTATATTTTACAGAATTAAATAGATTTAACTTAACTGTTATTTAAATACATGCTTCGGAGTAAAAAAATACAATTTTATATCCGTAAAAAATTAACTGAAATTCCCGCTTTCAGCGACGCCGATGTGTCGTAATTTTCGGCAGTCATTTTGTTCAAATTAAAGTAAAAAACGCATTCAAATATACTTTTTTTTACTTTCATAATTTACAGCAATCATTTCTAATCAAAAGTCCATAAAAAAAATAATAGTTATTTTTACAAAATATTATTTCTTACCTTATTAGTGCAGTACACGTACTTTCCAAGTAGATCCATTCCGTCTAGATTTGCATACTTCGCATCCTTCGCCGCGGCACAAAATGTCATAAAAAACGAATTCCACAAAAATGTTGCTAACGAAGCTTGTAAAAACCTTGCTCTATTTATCAGTATAAACAAAATCCCCGAACGATGTCTGGTTAGAAAGTTTATGAACGGCGAAGACCGAATATGCATTTTGCGGTACCAATCTGTTTCCTGCCATAAGTTTAATGTAGGAAACAAAATACTAAATAAATACTTTGATCAATTTAATCAATTATTTTAATGGGGGGTGGGGGGGGGGGGGTGGAGTGGAGAAGGTAACCTTAGAAAAATTATTTTCTCTCAATTTGGCTAGAGAAAGTTCAATATAAACATTAGCTCAATTGCCCAGAATAAATGTCATTATACTGTAAGTGTAAGTAATTATAATCAGAGTACAAATGTTGCATCATTTTATAAATTAGTTGCTAAAACATCTGTATACAGTCTGGAATTTTTCCAAAAAAGTCTAGAAAATGTCTGGAATTTAATTTTTTAAAGTAGTACGAACCCTGTAAATGGTGTTTTTTAAAATGGTGTTTTATATGATGATAATGAAGATAAAATTTTAAAATAAAATTTTCAAAACTGATTTGCAGGACAGATTTTGTCAAGTGCTAGTTCAAAATGACTTCAACAAGATTGTGCAACTTTAGACTGTTTTATAAAGGGAAGAATTCATGCAGTATGATGTCATCAGTTATCACTTGCAATACAACAGTGAATAGGCTCTTTCACTGGACAAGGCCCCATAAGTCTTTGGTTGCTGGTAGACCTTTCCATCCAGGAATATTGAAATTTAAAACAGTCGCCTACACTTTGAACACTGAATCCCAGAGATCCTATGCACAGCAGGACACAGACAAAGCATTGGGTGAACTTGTGTACACAGGTCGTGTGGGAAGTTTGATGAGGAAACTAAAAATATTCTCCCTGACAACTAGCACTATTGGACTGTGTCTTCAACCTTATTTATTCCTACAGTTACAGGACGTGCCACTAACATTAACAATGCCTGTTTTTACAGTTATAAACATGTTTGTTTTTTTGAACCCCTTTTTAATTCATTTTATAGCAAAGAAATATGTTGTTGAACTTTACTTTAATCAACAGAGTAACATTTTCACAGCAGTCATGTTAACATTTTTTGCCAAGAAAGAAAAGTTTACATTTACAGCTAATGAGGTTGAAGTCCCTGATGTACCTAATATGTTTGCCATGCTATCAGCTAAAGGAAGGCCCCTCTTTGTTAATGATAGTGATTTTACTGACTTAAATGTGTACAAACATCTCATGGGCTTTGATAAACCTCTAGACCTAACTAACATAAAAAAAGAATGAGACAATGTGATTTAGTTTAATGTTTGTTACTGTCAATTTGTATTTTAGACTAGCTTAAAAACCATGATATTGATAATTGGCAGATTCTTGTACATTATGAATATGTTGAAATAAATTCAAGAAGAGATGCTTATTTCTTGTCAAATTTCTTATAAATACAAGACTTTCTTGAAAAATCTGAGACAAATGTAATACAATCAATTATTTCTTCATCTTTGTTCTTAATAATAATTATAAAATCTTTGTTCTTAATAATAATTATAATGTTGGAAGGAATTCCCTACAACATAATTGTTTGGATTTGCTTCCAACCTTTGTCCAACCAAGAACAAACTACAAGGCAGCAGTTGTTTGATTTTGGAGTGGCTGTCCCCAGCTAACAAGCCTCATCTGCCCGAGGGTTCGAACTTGAGACTTTAACCATGAGCTTTACCAACTCGACCATGTCGACCCTTTGTTTCTAATTTTGAGTAATTTCTGGTGACTGGAAGTAATACTTTATGCTATTTCTTATTTCTCAAAAAAAAAAAAAAAACTGATATGAATTTATATCTAACTTGATTCCTCTGTGTATCTTCCGTCACGATCTGAAAATTGTCAACAAAATTTCAAACACTTCTACTAGACCAAGTTATTTTTAACTTTTCACGTAGGTCAAGATTCTCGAAGACAATTTTATTGTAACATAAAATGTTTCTTAATTAGGTGATTAATTAACTCTTTGATAATTATGTTTTTCTTTATAAAGTACTAATGTTCCGCAAGTATTATATACACGTTTGCTGTTCATTTGGTGCGCATTTATTTTTTATGAGATTCTTTTCTATTTAAAAAAAAAATTAGTATTTAAAAATTGATTAAATTAAAAACATGTCTATATCCTGAGTTGCCATCCCCCGTAGTGATATATAAGAATACGAGCCGACCCGTGGCTTTACATATGCCGCTATTTAGTTATTTTATTTTCTACTTTTCAGTAATTCATAATTTGTGAATTCGACAATACCAATGCTGCCACTGAAAATATTTGCTTTAAAACACTATCAGTAAGTCGTTAAGGACGATACTACCCCCCCCCCCCCCTCCTTTCCCCCAACCCCTTGAAAGCAGCCTCCTCTTAGTTACCTCCCCTAAGTTAAATTGTTTCAAACTAAATTATCTTCCCCTAATAGCCTTCACTAAACCTTCACTAAACCCGGCTCTACGATTGTAAACATTTAGCGTGAACCACAGTTCACCAGACAATGTAGGGGTGGGGGTGGTAGGGAGCGCGCTTACATCTTGGTGTTTTCTATCGTCTCCAAGAAGAGAATTATATATATAGAATAGAGAAAGTTTAGGGGAGATCACTCCTGCTTTATTTCATATAACATGCATTCAGGTTTTAAAGACTAAAACTATATGGCATACTCTATAACTAATAGGCCTATCTATAGCATAATTATAAAAAAAATTTAATACCTTCACTTACATATCTGACAATTTTCAAAACATGACACTAGATAATTGTAAAAAATAATTTCTAAGCTGGGTGGACTCAAAGGCATTCTACAGACTTGATTGCAGATTTGAACTTGAGACTTTCGTCTACTATTTGATCATGACATCCCATTATGGGTATGTAGCGAGATAATTTGTAGAACAAATACTTATTGTATTCATATTTTTTTATCTTGATATCCTGTCAATTGAGAGCCTGCAAAGTTCTATTCATTTGTTGGGGTTGCACTATTTATTTTGGTTACATTTGTTTGCCATAAATAAATCTCTTTAGGTATAGGTGTGGCCGATCACATAACCTAAAATATTGGAAAATCTCTCATATCTCCATCTCAGTACTTGCTGCACCATTAGATAAACTTTACAAGGGTAGGCCATTTCTACAATACCTGTATCAAATGTTTCAACATCATATACATACAACATATTCATGATACTAAGCGGTGTAGCTTAGTGGAGTTTGTTTACGCTGATTATTGTGATTGCTCTTGGAAGCTTCCAGCAAAAATAGCTTTAGTCCAGCAACTGTTGCCACACCAGAAAGACCACAAAATTGAATGTCACTAAGCATATAGGGAGTTGGACTATGACGGCACATTTTCCTGTGTTTGGTACAGTCAGAAGGTCGAAGATGTGTTCACATTATAAATCTAGTAAAAAACATACTTAAATATATACTTTTGTGTAGTGTTTATGTGTATAAATAACAAAAATGATTGTTATAATGATTACTGTGTTATTAGTTAATACATTTTACAGTTTGTTCATGTTTTGTACATTGAAATTGAAAATTTTTTTTTGAAAAAAAATAATTTCTGCACTCCTGACAATGCTTATTTGGGCAATTGCAAATTTAAGAAACTAAATTTTCTTTGACCTATGCTTTATCACTTTATGTGTGCCAAAAGCAATATAATATTAATAACTAATTGTTTAAGAATTTTTTTTATTAAGATCCTAATAAAATAACTAATTCAGTAAACGAAGGGTTAAAGTTAAATATTAAATAAGAACATTCATAACTATCTTAACTTCTGAACAGGAGAGCAAACTCAATTATTATCATACATTTTATTGATGAACGCATTTAAAACCATTTCAGTATAGGCCTAAGCGCAGCAGTAGAAATTTAACTAAGCCTAGCCTCGCTTTTACTCTGCAGAGTAATTAAAAGTTAAAGTTAGCATACAACTAGATCAGAGTAGATCTAGACCTAGATTCTAGATCTCTACTAGATCTAGATCTACTACTAGTCATAACTAGTCTAGTCTAAATTCTACAAGCATTTCGAATTTAAAAATATTTAGAGTCGTTCCCCCTACTTAGTAATTTTCACGACGCGTCAAAACAACAGGCTAATAGACTAGTATTTAGTTACTAATAGTATGAATGAATCTTACAAGTATGTTCATTATGTAATAGATCAGAGGCAATATGCGAATTTATCTCCCCTCACTGGCCAGTTGTTGGACTTGACAAAAGACACACTGCCAGATCTAGATCTTAGATCTGCTATTTTTAAAAATCTAGGTTCTAAATCTTAATCTAGATTCTAGATTAGGTAGAGGTAGAGATCTAGTGTAGCTAGAGTGGCACTCAGTGCTAGAGTCAAGGTCTAGAATCTAGAATGAAATCTAGTCTAAATCTCGAGTCTATAGACTATATTATAGACTACTTGTAACTATAGAATAGAGTTATAGAGATCTAGATCTAGAATAGATCCACTTGATTATAGTTAAATTATAGATTCAATATATGATATAGAGTAAAGAGAAAGAGTAGCCTATACCAGGGGTTCCCAACCTTTTTTTACTCTAGAGCACATTCTAAAATATCGGTAGGGTGGCGGGCACCACCTATTTTAAATCGACAAACTCGTTCAGAGGCGTAGCGACCCTTCCCGTCACCCGGGGACAAAACTTTCGATTTGCACCCCCCCCTCAAATTTTCGATGTGCATCCCCCCCCCCTCAAACTTTCGATTTCCATCCCCTTCAACCTTTCAATACTGTTTATGAAAAAAATTCTGTCTCTGTCGAATAGTGAGAGGCGGGCACATACGAATCGTTCGGCGGGCGCCATGGCGCCCGCTGGCACGGGGAAGGGAACCCCTGGCCTATACTATAGACTCACTATAGAGTGAGTAAGTATAAAATTACGATTATAATTTTTATTGCAAGTTACTTTATCGAGAGTATTAAAATTAAAGTATTAAAATTACTAGATTTCTAGATCTAGTAAGTGATACTAGTACTGCCGTACGACGGTACTGGTAGACCTAGATCTAGTAACTAACTACTCAAACTACTTAACCGACTACTCGTTAATAATATTAGGTAATCTATCCTATACATCTAAGTAGAACTCATTGATATAATGTTTAATGAATTATTCTATTAAATGTAGATAATTGAAATGATTTTCCAAGTTTTCTCTGGTGAAAATTTGGCTCTAAAATTGGCTGAGATGCAGGAAAATGGCAAGTTTTGTGATTTTTCTATCATTGTGTCAGGCACGGAGATTAAAGCTCACAAGTAAGTCTTTGTTTAGATATAATAGATTTGATTGAATAATGTTGTGTTTCAAAAGATACACAGATTAACTAAATATTATGTATCAAAATATTATGTATCAGAATGCAATCTGAAAAAAGCTTATAACAGGAACGTGAAACTGATTTTTTTTTTATATAAATGAATTCATTGCTCAAATTTTTTAAAGTTACTTTAAAAAAAAACCCCAAGTTTTTTACATTAAATATTAATTTAGATTTATATAGTAAGTCATTTTTTTCCAGGTGTGTTTTAGCTTCTACATGTGAATACTTCAATACCAGTTTTCAGTTTAATAAATCCTCTGAGACTCTAAATCACATAGATCTGACACATCTTGGCTGTGAGGCCAAGTATGTGCAGATGGTGATTAGAAGTTTTTATACCAACGACATAGATTTAGACCTGAGCTACATTGACAGTGTCTTGCAGATTGCCGACTACTTCATGTGTGAGAATTTAAAATTCTGCATTGAATCTTACATGGAGAAATCCTTGAATTTTAATTCAGCTGTGATGTACTTTCAACTTGCGCTGCAGTATAGACTGAATTCGGTTAGTCATATGTTAACTAATCTATTTATGTTTTTACATTTTAAATTCTGCTTGGATTTATAAAAGGTTGAATCGTTTAAAAAAAACCTCTGAATATTTGTCAGGACATTTTCTGATTTATTTTTACATTGTTTTCAGACTGGACTTTTCAACTGCATCAAATGGTTTCTGTGGTTCAGGTTTCATGACTACTTCATATATCAGCTGGACACACTTGATTCAAATATGGAAGTTATAAATGCATTCGTCACATATGGCATATTTAATTATTGTAATCCTTTGCAGGTAACTAGTGAATTTATGTATTACATGTAAAGATTTAATTATTAGCCTTTGTTTTTAAGTATCGGTGTATTCTATTAACATAATTGATACTGAGTATTTTTTAAAAATGTTCTATTAAGATAGTGGAGTTTATGCTGCAAAATGTCAAGTCATCTATTCTACAAACACAAAGCTCACAGAATACAACAGATGTGACCAGGGAAGATTTACACAGACTAGAAAATTCTTTTAGTAAGATTCATTTACTGCTTGACCAGATAGCCCCCGATGTTTTAAACAAATGGAAATGTAAGCTAGCGGAATACACCAAAGAATGGAGAGAAAAGAGTTCTACAGAAATTAAATGTTTTTCTAAAATAGGCTGCCATTTGAAGTGGTTGGAGAAAAGGTTTGAAAGTTTGGACAAGGGAGATGATTCTTTATGTGACCAGGGCAAAAACTGCCCCATCTGCTGCTATCACAAGCTGTCAAGAGCACAAGGAGAGGACAATAAACCAACCCAATCTGAAACTGTTGGATGCTCCAACCCTTTCTGTCAGACCAGGAGCAACCCAGCCATGTCAGATCCAAACATCCAGCTGATCAGGTCTTTAGCCAACAGTTCAGATGAGAGCGATGATGAGCTAGACGCAACAAAATCCTGCAAGTGTACCCCTAAAGCAGTCAGGGATTATCTTGCTGCCATGCAGCTCCCTCCCACCTATAAAAAGTCTGCATTAGAAGATGTAATAGAAGATGAGCCACTTACTCTGTCTGTTACAGCAAAAAATGTCACAGTGAATGATCTGCAGTCCACCAGTAGTTATCTCAATGACTGTAACTTGAGAGACTCAGAAACTGATGGAGGGGTTTTAAAACAACCAGAGCAAGAAACAAAAGTTGAGCAATCAGCTCTGTCATCTAGTGGTCACTCTCTATCCAGCTCATCTTCATTGGTCACAGTACCATTGGACACAGTACCATTGGACACAGTACCATTGGACACAGTACCATTGGACACAGCAGCATTGGACACAGCACCACCAAATTCAGGACCATTAATTACCAGATCACTAAGTACAGAGGCTCCAGTACACCAGGAGTCCGCAGACAGCGACGTTATTGTTGTTCTGGCTCCATCTACAGACATGACAACCCAGCTGATGGCAACTGACGCTGGTAAGTTTTAGACTGACTTGCCAATAGTTCCTACACTTATTTATTTCAAAATCACATTGTGTTTGTCTTAGCATTAGTTCACTTTAACGCAAGAAACTTATATTAGTTTTTATTTGCACATCAAATCTAAGATAATGTAGATGGTTTTGTATTAATTAATTATGAGTAACGGAAGTAGTAGTAACCCATTTTAATGCTTCCAGTAAATGATTCATGAACACATTTTTGCATGTTCAGGGAAGTTGAGACCACTTCTAAAATCTCCTCAGTTAGAGCTGAGCTACTATGACATTGACATGAAAACCTGGCGTCAAGGATTCAAATTTGATTTTCCTATCCAAGGTGTTATGCTGGATAAACAGTCTTGGAGAGTTGCTTTTCTTAAAGGACATCTTTATATGTTTAGGTAGGGTCCTAACTAAACTTTAACATCAAGATACAGCCTTTATAAAAGAACATCTTTATCTATATTAAGATTAGGTCTTTACAAAAGCTTGACATATTTCGGTAAAATCTTGATACAAAATGTTTTACAATTTATTAGTTTGTATTAAACTTTGGCAATGTAAGATAATGTGATCATTGTAAAAAAAATAATTTACCCCCCCCCCCCCCCCTGAAGAAAGTTTTAGTTTTGTACAAAATGAAACTTAAATCACTTACAATGAGTACTTTATGTGCAAGCCAATGTTCTTTTATTTCAGCTTATCTAAAGAACTTGGCCTAGAACTGAATACAAGTGACAGAAGGTGGACCCACCTCAGCTGTAAGCATCTGTTTTCCCCTCACGAGAACAAGATCCCTGTGAAGAGTATCATCCCCATTGCAGTCGGAGAAAGGCTTGTTGTTCTGTCTATGAGCAAAGACCTTCAAGTCAATGGGGAGTACTTGACTGAGCAGAGATTCTACGAGATGGACCCATCAAGCAAACAATTCCACCTGGTGGCTTCGGTCCAGGATGAGAAGATGGACCTGCCCATCACCCAGTGGACAGTGCTAGGTGACGTCCTGATTACAGTCAAGACCAGCACCATGATGTACCGCCAGCTGTCCCGCGTCCAGTACTTCCACGTCTACAACTCCTCCAGCCGGGAGCTCCAGACCCACAAGGTGGTCTGTGCCATGGAGGCGGGCGTTAAAGTCCTGGCTCGAGACAGCACGGTCTACCTGTTTGATAACGAAGGCTGGTGCCGCTCCTACGACCTAGTCTCGTCATCTTGGACTGGTCTGAGCAGGCATTCTGTCAACTGTCTGTCTGCCCAGAGCTACGGGTCAGATGACATCTACCCCGCACTGACCCGCGCCTCGTGCCACGCTGGCAGCTCCAGGTGGGAGATCTCCACCAGCCTGAACTCTGTCACCGCCCACATGCAGGAACTCCTGGTGGACGACCTCCTGCAGCTCAAGGCCTGCTCCCACCCTCCCCCACCCTTTCAGTTTGTGACTGCCATGTGTCCTGGGAGGATGTCCAGAAAACTGCTGGATGGACTGGAATGTCCAAAGTTTAGGTATATTAGACAAAATCTGGACTTTTCTTTTTACTGTGACATGACTGGGAGAGTGTGATGAGATGACTGGGAGAGTGTGATGAGATGACTGGGAGAGTGTGATGAGATGACTGGGAGAGTGTGATGAGATGGCTGGGAGAGTGTGATGGGATGACTGCGAGAGTGTGATGAGATGACTGGGAGAGTGTGATGACATGACTGGGAGAGTGTGATGAGATGACTGGGAGAGTGTGATGAGATGACTGGGAGAGTGATGAGATGACTGGGAGAGTGTGATGATATGACTGGGAGAGTGTGATGAGATGATTGGGAGAGTGTGATGAGATGACTGGGAGAGTGTGAGGATATGACTGGTAGAGTGTGATGAGATGACTGGGAGAGTGTGATGAGATGACTGAGAATACAATGAATTATTTAATGTTGTGTCTGACTTTTTTGAACACCTAGCTTGCAAGGCTAGCTGATCTCAATTGTTAATAGCTTAATGAGATATGTGATGTCATATTTTTAAACAGCATTGAACTAAGCTTTAGTTTTTAAAATATAAATTTTTAATGGAAAGGCTTGAAACTTGATGCTAATAAAATCTTGTATAAGAAAAAGCTAAATTATTAAATTTTGATGTAACAGATGTCTACACTGACACATATACACAAAACACAGTTCAGACACATACACACTGACACGGATACTGGGACACAGAGACCAGTAAATGTCTACAGCCCAGAGCAACACATTAAGCTGATATCCTCTAGCTTGTACCTTGTATGTGGGGGGGGGGGGGGGGGTGTCAGCGCTAACCTGTTACTCATTGACCTACAGTGTTCAGTTAGATATCGTGAATAGAGACAGCTGATAATCCTCCGTCAGGTATGTGCAGGTATATGACAGGTGATCTGACAGGTGATATGACAGGTATATGACAGGTGATCTGACTGGTGATCTGTCTAGTGCTATGACAGGTGATCCAGCCAGTTAGAAAGAATGGCGACAATGACGTGAATGAAGTGTAAAAAGTTACTTATTAAAAATGAGATTTCCAACCAATTATCTAAGTATATAAAAGTAAAACAAGACTAGATATAACAAAGGAAAGACTATGATGTAAACAGTTTACTGTGAAATCGCAAAAGGATGCACATAGAAAAAAATAATTTAAAAATTAAAACGCCCAGCACCTGATTTGCTTGAAACCTTTTACTTCAACAAGGGGTGATAATTTTACTAACTTATTATTCTTACTAATGGAATTATGTCCCCTAGTATAGGGTGAAAAGCTACATCATTTACAAATGCACATAAAATTGTTTTGTTAAACGTACTAAAAAGATTAAAATAAAATTTATTACAACATTTTGTTATACAAGTCATGGTATTATTTATTATGAACAAACACATATTTTTAGTGTAAGTAGGCTATACTTAAAGCCAAGTTAAAGCGATGAGTAGGAATTAATTTTAACTGGTTATTCGAACACTCAGATCGCCTCCCCTCCTCTTAATCACCACAACAATAGTTCGATCACTACAATCACATGACCCCACCAAATTACATAGAAAATCTGTTTTTAAAAAAAAGCGTGGATCGCTAGATAGAGGCCTATAGCCGACTTTGTTCGTTGTAGTGGTTGGATATGTTACTTATATGTGGGACTACGATTCAAAAGAGTTATCCTTATACAGACCAGCTATCGCTCACTATCCGCTTTTATCGATGTTTCACGTTGTGACTTAAAAGTTGTGGAACATTTCATAGAATTTATTTATTGCTGAAGACTTCAGGTAACAGATTGTCAGGGTGACAGCAAGCAGCACGCGAGAAATGTGAATATTGATGACTGTCGTGGCAGGGGTAAGCTAGTGGAGCTAATCGGAAAGTAAAAAAACGATCTACATCGTCGTCAAAATTTTAATTCGATTTGATAAGAGAAAAAAAAAAAATTCATAAAAAACGTTTTAATAACAAGCTTTTATGTAATGATGCACTAAAAAGTAGAAAATAAATTAAAGACTACTATTTAAATAACTATAAAGAAAAGCGTGGGTCACTTTAGTATCTATTGGATACCTTTACTAATGTTAAGGAAGACACCCACGCTTTTCTTTATAGTTATTTAAATAGTAGTCTATAATTTATTTTCTACTTTTTAGTGCATCATTACATAAAAGCTTGTTATTAAAACGTTTTTTATGAATTTTTTTTTCAGTACTTTACATGTTTTATTTACAATAGAGTTACATGACTAAAAACCATTGCGCGCCTACTGAACATCACGTTCAGTAGGCGCGCAGTGGTTTTTGAACGCAGCCATTACGTGATGGCGCAGCTATTGAAGGTGATGACGCGTGTGGTGTGGTTGGCTAGACATGCCTACTAATTCGGTCCAAATTTTTATTAATTCATAAAAAATTAATTAGGCATCCAATTAAGTCAAATTTAGTTTCAGATTGCATTGTCTTCATGTCTTGACCCACGTGCCAACTGTGAATCGTATCGGTCAAGTAGAACTGTCCGAATTTTCACTCCTGCGTTTCCGTCTAGACAGACAGACCGACGAGGAAGTGAGTTAAATAAAAGCTTGTAAAAACGCTACGTTTCTAAAACAAAGGAAAAGGTTAAGAACTATTCTAACACTAAATTCGCATACTGTTTGACTGAATGAATACAGCCTCGCTGAACATGCTTTAAATACCAATGACAACAATCTGGTCATACTCGGATGGTCAGCCCGATGCACACATTTCTCTAGATAAATTAAGTTAATAAAGCCTGTAAAACAAATTACTGCAGATAAATGAAGTTAAATAAAAGCCTGTAAAAAAAAACAACATACAACTGCAGGTAAGTGAAGTTAAACAAAGCCTGTAAAGGAGTCATCCACAAATGACGTCACGTTTTTTAAGACGATTTTTACCTTCCCCTCCCCCCTCCCCTCCGTCAATCTGTCACAAAAAGCCAGACCGCCCCTAAAATGACGTCACACTTTAGCCTACACCCCCCCCCCTCAAAATTGCTGTTAAATTTTTCTTAAAACATCGATATTTTTCCAAAATCTTGTCAGAACTGTCAACATAGAGGATTTTGATCAATTCCTATTACAATTTATTAAAACCGTTTTCTAAACGCGAAATAACGGCTAAAACTCGTTTTCTAACATGGCTTTTTCATAATGCAAAAGTGTGACATCACACCATCTGAACCCCCCCCCCCCCCTCATCACACACCGTCACAAAATTACGGACCCCCCTCCCCCTACGAGTGTGACGTCATTTATGGACGACCCCAAAAACAAATTTCTGATTTATTGATGTAACATTAATTTTACGTTTGCACGTGTTGCGGCATGTAGGCTTTATGAAATCAAATGTGTGGGCGCTAAAAACGTTTTAAAACACGCTAGTAAGTTAGTCTCCAAGGAATTTAGTCCTTAATATTCACGGTGTAGACTTCCTTTTGCATCCGTTTAACCACGATTGAATTAATTTTTAATGACTACCATTATGAGCTGGCGTTAGCGTGGACTTGAATAGATGAGACTCAAGTTTTTATACAAAATAGGTTAAATTACTGGTTAGAAGTTAGAACAGCTTTAGTGCTAAATGGATTTTGTGCCGCAGAAAGTTGTATATTCCGGTATTTAATGTTAAAAGTAGTACCGAGTATGTTATCAATTAACGAAGATTTAATAGTCAATTTTTACTTTCTCGTTTACAGAGTATAGAGAAAGTACTGTAATCGTGCAAAAAAAAATAAAAAATAAAAAATAAATAAATAAATCGAGATTTTTGCAAATCTCGACATTTTACATCCTCCTTGAGTCGGAAAAACATAGTTTTGCAATCTTGTCCGTATGTGTGTGTGTATGTGTGTATATGTGTGTATGTGTGTCTGTGAACACGATAACTTGAGTACCGCTACAGCTAGGTTGATGAAATTTCATATACAAGTTTTATATAAAATTTGTATTCTATATCAACTTTTCAGCGATTTCCGATAACCGGAAGTAGAACTTATTCTACTTTCAATTTTTCAAAAGCCTATAACTTGACTACTGTTTCAGACCGATAAATGAAATTTCACATGTTTTGTAAGTAAAAAATCTAATTCTCTATTTTCTGTCAAATTTTGATTAATATCCGTTGATCGGAAGTAGTAATTTACGCGATTTCCGATTTCTAAAAAAACGCATGCGAATTTATAAAGTACTAATAATACTCCGCACTATTATACACAGATTGTTTTGGCGTTCACTTGGTGCGCAATTCTTTTTTCTATGATATTCTATTCTATTTTTAAAAAGTTTAAGTAATTAAAAATTGATTAAAAATCATGTCTATTTCCAGAGTTGCCATACCCCGTAGTGTTATATAAGAATATTCGAGAAAGTTTAGGGGAGATCACTCCCGGTTTATTTAATTCAACATTTACATACCTAGCAAAAAGCCAGTTAAAAAACAAAACAAACGACTCCTTTTATAATGAACGAACGTCCTGGAATGACATCCCCTGTTAACTCTGTTGATTGTTGCCTCACGGTGGTAGAAAAGAAGATTTTTTATCGGTACGGTGTGTTTATGTAGAAACTCTAGTCGGCCTCATTTATTGTCTGCAAAACACGCTCACATTTTTGCTAACTAGTCTTTCTTTTTTTAAAGAACGTTAATCGAATTGGAAAAAAGCCTAGCAAAACATATCTTTGACAGTATGAGATTTCTTGTGGAGAATTCCATTTCTCTGTCTGTCAGGTTTCTTGCTAAACCGGCGAAAAACTCGGGCAACACCGCTTAACCTCGGTACTTGCCGGTGTAGCGACAGATTTATTGCCCGGAAAATTTGTGCGTGCATTATTGACATATCAACTGAAGTTTCAAGAGCAACAAATTTGAGACTTGCTCCTGCGGCAGGTGGTTTTTTATTTTACTTCAGGTCAGAGCCGGCGTTAGGGGGTGGCAAACGGGGCGGTCGCCCCTAGCCCCGCGCTTGAAGGGGCCCCGCGCTTCAGCAACGCCATTGTTGACTGAATTAGTTTGTAAACTTAAATAATCTTTGCTGAATTAAATTTAAAAAAAAACAAAAAAACTAAATGGCCGAAATGGTTGGATGTTAAAACTGAGGCCACGGCTGATGTTAGTGAGTTATCCTCTACATGGACTGGGACAGACCGTTATTCTAAAGAAAGACATTAGTGTCACACATTGCTGACACGGTCGACTCGCTATTGTCCTGAGGTGACTGGAGATGGCGGTCGCGAATTAGCCCCCGACCTGACATTGGAGGTAAAATCGGGAAAAACGTAAACAGATACCCTATTGTTTGCGGACCGTTGAAGACGTTTTTTTTAGTGAGCAGGCGGGGGTGCCTGTAGTAAACAGTCAGTGACCTGATGATGGCTTGCAGAGGAGGGGGGGGGGGGAGGGGTGAGCGGATGGGGACATGCCCCTTACCGGGAAAAACTTTCAAATTTTCGATTTGCACCCC